TGATTTTGAGTTTTAAAAATGCATTGAAACGTGTTTTGCAGCCTCACTGATGATCTACCTTGGAGAATGTTCCATATGCTAATGAGAAGAAGGTATATTGTGTAGTTGTTGAATGTTCTATAAATGTCTATTAGGTCCATTTGATCTAAAGTCCAATTTAAGTCCAATGTTTCTCTGTTAATTTTCTGTCTCAATGATCTTTCTAGTGCTGTAGGTGAGATGTTGAAATCCCTCACTATTATTGTGTTATTGTCTATCTCTTTTTTTAGGTCTAGTAATATTTGTTTTATTGATCTGAGTGCTCTGGTGTTGAGTACATATATATTTAGGATTTTTTTTTACTGTTTTTGACTTAAGGTGCGTTTTGTCTGATATAAGTATAGCTACTCCTGCTTGCTTTTGGCTTCTGTATGTGTGGAATATCTTTTTCTCCCCCTTTACTTTCAGTACATATGTGTCTACCAATAAGTTGAGTTTCTTATAAGCAGAATATAGTTTGATCATTTAAAAAAATCCAGTGTTTCGATCTTTATCTTACATTCAAGGTTAATATTGATATGTGACATTTTGATCCTGTCATATTGTTAATTGTTATCTAATTGTTTTATCAATGCTTTTTTTTTTTTTGTCTGTTGTCTTTGTGGATTGGTGGAGTTCTGCCATGCTGCCATTTGATTCCTTTCTGTTCCTCCTTTGTGTAATTATTTCATAAAACCTATGAGTTTTTATATTCTTATGTAGTTTTATGATGGTGAATACCAACCTTTTGTTTCCATCTTAGGACTACTTTGAGCAAGGAAGAAATAGAAATTCTGAACAGACCAATAATAAGTATTGAAAATGCATCTATAATAAAAAAAATTGCCAAATTTTTTATTCCAAAAATCCCAGGTCCAGGTGGCTTTTTAAAAAGTTCCAAAAAAGGCCCAGCACCAAATGGATTCACAGATGAAGTCTGCCAAATGTACAAAGAAGAGCTTGTACCAATCTTCCTGAGACTGGTCCAAAAAATGGAGGAGGAGGGAATTCTCCCTAACTCATTCCACAAAGCCAGTATCACGCTGATACCAAAGACAAGGACACAAGAAGAAAATTACAGAGCAACATTCCCCATGAACATAGATATAAAAATCCTCAACAAAAATACTAGCAAACAGAATCAGAAAGATAATACAGCATGATCAACTGGGTTTTATTCCAAGGATACAAGGATGGTTCAACATATGCAAACCAATAAATGTGATTTATCACATAAACAGAACTAAGAACAAAAGCCTATATGTTCGTCTCAGTAGACATAGAAAAACTATCTGAAAAAATTCAGTGTCCCTTCATGATAAAAACCCTCAACAAACTAGGCACAGAAGGAACATACCATAAAATAATAAAGCCCATGTATGACAGACAAACCCATAGCCAACCTCATACTGAATGGTAAAAAGTTGAAAGCATTTCCCCTTAGAACTGGAACAAGACAAGAATGTCCACTTTTACCAATCCTATTTAACATAATACTAGAAGTCCTGGCCAGAGCAATCAGGCAAGAGAAACAAATTAAAAAAACATCCAAATTGGAAAAGAGGTAGTAAAATTATTTTTGCTTGCTGAGGCTGTGATCTTATATCTAGAGAATACTAAATCCTTTTAGATTTAATAAATGAACTCAGTAAGGTTTCAAGATACAAAATCAACAGACAAAAATCAGTAGCATTTCTATAAACTAATAATGATCAATCTGAGAACCAAATCAAGACAGCAATCACATTTACAATGACTAAAATTAAAAAACAAAAAACACCTTAAGCTGGGCAGGGTGGCTCATGCTTGTAATCCCAACACTTTGGAAGGCTGAGGTGGGCGGATTGCTTTAGCCCAGGAGTTTGAGACCAGCCTGGGCAACATAGTGAAACCCTATTTCTACAAAAAATACAAAAGTTAGTTGGGCATGGTGGTGCCCACCTAGAGTCCTAGTTACTCAGGAGGCTGAATTTGGAGGATTGCTTGAGTCTGAGAGGCAGAGATCTTGCCACTGTATTCCACTCTGAGTGGCAGAGAGAGACCTATCTCAAAATCAAAACAAAACAAAACAAAAAATCCTAGAAATATATTTAACCAAGGAGGTAAAAGAGCTCTACAAGAAAAAGAACAAAATACTGATGAAAGAAATTACCGATGACCCAAATGAAAGTATAAATATCTCATGTTCATGGAGCAGAAGAATTAATATTGTCAAAATGACTACACTGTCCAGAGATACCACAAGTTCAATGCAATTCCTATCAAATTACCAACATACTTTTTCACAAAGAAAAAAATTCTAAAATTCATACATAAAGAAAAAAGAGCCTGAATAGCTAAAGTATTTCTAAGCAAAATGAACAAAGCTGGAAGCATCCCATTATCTGACTTCAAATTATACTACAAGGCTATAGTAACCATATAGTAACCAAAACAGCATGGTACTAGTATAAGAGTAGACACATAGATCAGCATAACAGAATAGAGAACCCAGAAATTAAACCACATATTTAGAGCCAATTGATCTTTGACAAAGTTGACAAAACACACACTGGGGAAAAGATACCCTGCTCAATAAATGGTGCTGGAAAAATTGAATTGCAATATTCGGAAGAATGAAACTGGATCCGTATCTCTCACCACATTAAAAATCAACTCAAGATAGATTCACCATTTAAATGTAAGACCCAAAACAATAAAAATACTAGAAGGAAACCTAGAAAGAACCAGACATTGGTCTGGGCAAATAATTCATGACTAAGATCTCAAAAGCACACACAACAAAAACAAAAATAGACTAATGGGACTTAGTTAAACTAAAAAGCTTCTGCACACCAAAAGAAAGAAACAACAGAGGCTGGGTGCAGTGGCTTACACTTGTAATCCCAGCACTTTGGGAGCCTGAGGCGGGCAGATCACTTGAGGCCTGGAGTTTGAGACCACATTGGCCAATATGGCAAAATCTCATCTCTACTAAAAAATAAAAAAAATTAGCTGGGCATTGTTGAGATCCACATGGGGTGGCTGGCAAAATATTGGGGAACGTTATAGATTAGTCTCAAACCTTTTGAAAGGCTGAAAGATTTTATTGGGACAGGCTGAAGGCAGCCGGTTCATTACCTTAGGGAAAAGATAGAGACGATAAGAGGCTTTCCCAGTTTAAGTCTATTTACCCCACATTCCTTTGTCTCCACTCTAATTTGTTTGCTCATGTAAACGTTGTGCTGATGGCCCTCTTAGGGGGAGGTCAAAGGGGAATTACCCATTAATGGTGTTTACTCTGTGCCCCAGAACCTAAAGCTTTTAAGTTTGTAAAACCACTCTTTTAACCATGCTAATTATCCGCAAGCATGTTGACTTAGTACCTTTGTTATTAAATCCATACTGAATAAATGTGAGGCTGGACAGGGGTCTTGGTTTATTGGCTGCAATCACCCTGGGAAAGCAGCCGATGACCATTCCTAGCCCACTTGAATCACTGTAATGGGTGTGAGAGTGCATTTATTCATCTGTCATTGAGTCAGGGTCTGTGTAGGGTTGTAGGGGCCCCACAGGGTCGTGGGTGTCCCTTATGCTGTGTTGAGGTGCAGGATCCAAGAAGTAAAACAACAGGTCACTGAAGAACTGGTGAAGAGCATCTGGACTCAGGAGGCCACGCCACCTGTGAGTGGAGATCAGTGATGGCCCCCAAATGCCCAAGAGCATCTGTATTTATTAGATACAAGCAGGGGGCAGGGTCATGAGTGAGGTCATTATCTATAGGCTTAGTAATAGGGCATACATAATCATGTAAGTTACAAGCAAGGGAGCCACCCCATTACATCACCTGGGCAGAGAGGTGGGTTGTGCGCCGCAGGGGGCCATGCCATGTGCAGTAGTAAGGGGTCGTGTACAGAAAAGGGGTCCACCCCCATCAGGTCACTGAGACAAGGAGGTAGGCTGTGTGCAGCAGGTGTCATGCACAACACTTCTTATCTGGGGGATGGAGACTTCAAAGGATTTCTAATAGAAGGATACTGTAAGCCAACGCAGTGGGAGCTGATAGACTTGTGCTCTTCTCTTAAGATACTTATGGGAGGATGATTTGAGCTAGCACAGGAGTGAGAAAAGACTGATGGGGTGTACAGTCACCGTGACTGGTCACACCAGACGGGTTATTCTCCCTCGGTTACTTTCAGAATCTCAGGCCTGAGGCCTACTTTCCACAGGAACTGAATGCAAGGTACTACAACTCCGTTATCAGGAGGAGAGGCTCTTGCTCCAAGCCTGCCACACAGCATATGCCTTTTCAGGCAGGGACACCACCACCTGGGTCTTTGGTTCTTGTCCTGGTCTGGCTGTTTTCCCATGTACTGCTTCTGTTCTGTGACTGCTCTAGGCATTCCTCCTACTACAAGCTACTATATGGTTATATGGAAGGATTATATAAATCAGCACTAAATGTGTCAGTACAGCTCTGACTACAATACCTATATGATTATATAGAAAGATTATATAGAACTAAGTAGATATAAGTATTAAGTATGATTATATAAACTAGATATATGTAAGCAGTAAGTTATACTTCAAGCACCAATTCTATAAACTAATATATGATTATATATGCAGGATTACATAAAGGAAACAGCTGAGCAATAACACTATAAACTAAGATATTCTTCAGGCACTGGTAGTGCCTGGGGTCTGGACAGTTCGCCTTCCTCAGTGCCCATGGCGGGTGTTACCCACAGTCTGGAGGACAGACCTCCACAGGTGGTGATCGATGCTGTCTCAGGTGGTGACCCTGACGTGACTGAGGTCACAGGTGGTGCCCTGTGTGAGGAGACTAACATCACAGCCGGTGCTGGTCTGAGGAGACTCAATGTAACACTCAGCACAGCTTGCACCAGAGCAGGGACCCACCGACGTGATACCCATCACAGCAGGCCCTTGAATGTGGAGCGAATGGATGTGATCCAGATCACAGGGTGTGGTGCACATACCTGTCATTCCAGCTACTTGGGAGGCTGAGTCATGAGAATCAAATCACTTGAAGCTCGACAGCCAGAGGTTGCAGTGAGCTGAGATCACGTCACTGTACTTCATTCTAGGAGACAGAGTAACATTCTGTTTCAAAAAAAAAAAAAAAAAGGAACAAAAGAAATAAACAACAGAGTGAACAGACAGCCTGCAGAATGGGAAAAAATATTTGCAACCTATGCATCTGACAGGGGACTAACATCCAGAATTTACAAGGAATTCAAATAACTCAACAACAACAACAAAATACAAATAACCCCATTAAAAGGTGGGCAAAGGACATGAATAGACATTTTAAAAGAAGACATACAAATGACCAAAAAGCATATGAAAAAATGCTTATTATTACTAATCATCAGAGAAATGCAAATTAAAACTATCATGTGATATCATCTTACACCAATCAGAATGGCTATTATTAAAAGGTAAAAAAAAAAAACCCAACAGATACTGGTGAGGATGTGGAGAAAAGGAAACTTATACATTGTTGTATAAGTTTGAATGTAAATTAGTACAATTTCTTTGGAAAATAGTATGAAGATTTCTAGAAGAACTAAAACTAGAACTACCATTGGATCCAGCAATCCCACTACTGATAAACATGCATGTGCAAGGAATCTTTGATATAATGATTTCTTTTCCTTTGTATCTACTGATCATATCAAAGATTCCTTGCACATGCATGTTTATCACAGCACAATTCACACTAGCAAAGATAAGGAATCAACCTACATGTCCAGGAGTGGATGTTGTGGTGTTTATATATATATATATATATATATATATATATATATATGAATTATTATTCAGCCATAAAAAGAATGAAATAATACTTTTTGCAGTAACATGAATATAACTAAAGTCTAACTTTTTTTTTTTTTTTTTGAGACAGGGTCTCTTTCTGTTTTCCAAGCTGGAATGCAATGGCTTAATCATGACTCACTGCAGCCTCAACCCCCAAGGCTCAAGCAGTGGAGGTCATTATCTTAAGTAAAACAACTCAGTAACAGAATGTCAAATACTGCACGTTCTCCCTTATAAGTGGGAGCTAAGTAATGCATACACATGGACATAGAATGTGGAGTAATATACACTAGAGACTCAGAAAATGGGAGGTGGTGGGAGGGGGGTGAATGATGAGAAATTATGTAATGGGTATGATGTACATTATTTGGGTGATGGATACACTAGAAGCCAAGACATCACCACTATCTAATGTATCCATGTAACAATGCAGTTGTACCACTTAAATTTATATTTTAAAAAAGAAAATCATAAGGAAGAAAAATATATTTACTATTATGTGGAAGTGGGTCACCACAAAGGCTTTTGTCCTCATTGTTTTCACACTGAGTAGGCTGAAAGAGGAGGAGGAAGAGGAGGGATTGGCCTTACTATTTTGAGGGTGGCAAAGGTGGAGAAAATTTTGCATGTGAGTGGACCTTCCCAGTTTAAACCCACGTTGTTCAAGAATCAACTGTACTATGAACAACTCTACACACATAAAACTTGTCAACTTAGATGAGATAAACCAACTTTTCAAAAAGTGTAGACTCCTATAACTCATCTATGAAATAGATAATTTGAATAGCCCTGTAACTACTAAGGACATTGAATTCATAATTAAAATTCCCCAGGAAAAAAATTTCCAAGCCCAGAGAGTTTGACTGGAAACTATTTCAAATGTTTAAGGAATAATTAGCACTTTGAAAAGGAAGAAAATGGGAAGAATCACTCTACCCGATTTTAAGACTTATTTCATAGCCACAGTAATCAAGATTATGTGATATTGGCAGAGGGACAGACACAAAGATTAATGGAAGAGAATAAAACCCAGAAGTAGCCCCACACAAGTATGGCCCACTGATTTTTGACAATGGTGTCAAAACAATTCAATGAGGGAAGGATAGTCTTTTCAACAAATGGTGCTAGAGCAACTGGATGCTCACAGACCAAAAAAGAAAAAAAACACCAAAACCAAAAAACCTCAGTCTAAACCTTTGACCTTATACAAAATTAACTCAAATTGGATCATTGATGTAAATGTAATAGGTAAACTATAAAACTTTAAGAAGAAAACATAAGAGAAAATCTTTGAGACCTAAATCTTGGTGAAGAGTTCTTGGACCATAATACCAAAAATATAATACATAAAAGAGAGAATATATAAACTATTAAAATGAAAAACTTTTGCTCTGCAAAAGGCCCTGTTAAGATCAGCTCCATAATGGGAGAAAATATTTGCCAACCACATATCAGACAAATAACTCATGTCTAGAATATATATATGGTCCTCAAAATTCAACAGTAAAAAAACCCAGCCAATTCAGTTAAAAATAGGCAAAGGACTTGAAAAGACATTTCATGGAAGAGGATTTTTCAAATGACGAATAAGCACGTGAAAATATATTCAGTGTCACTAGTTACAAGGGAAAGGCAAACTAAGACCATAATAAGATATTATCACATACCTATGATAATAGTTAAAATAGAAAAAACAGTGACAATACAAAATTCTGACAAGGATGTGGAAAATCTAGATATGTCAGACATTGCTATCCTGTTTTGGGGAATGTAACATGGCATAGTCACTCTGAAAAGAGTATAGCAGTCTCTTAAAAAATGAAGCACACACCCTATATGTTAGTCAGGTTTCTCCAGGAAAAAGAGCCAACAGGATAGATAGTGCTAGCCTGGGCCACCAAGACTTTTTTTCTATTTATTTATTTATTTTTTTGGAAACAGAATCTCTCTCTGTTGTCAGGCGCCAGGCTGGAGTGCAGTGGTGCGATCTTGGCTCACTGCAACCTCCGCCTCCTGGGTTCAAGCAATTCTCCTACCTCAGCCTCCCAAGTAGCTGGGACTACAGGCATGTGTTACCACGCCCAGCTAATTTTTGTATTTTTTAGTAGATATGGGGTTTCACCATGTTGGCCAGGATGGTCTTGATCTCCTGACCTCGTGATCCGCCCGCCTTGGCCTCCCAAAGTGCTAGGATTACAGGCCAAGATTTTTTTAACAATGACCCTCTAACCCTGCCCCAAGTGATTCCATGTGCAGCTAAGATTAAGAACCACTGTTCAGGGGAGACTTGAATCTTGTATGCAAAAGAGTTGCTCCATGTGATCCTACAATTTAGGCAAATTTAAAATATACTCTTGCCTCTACCATCTGACATACCTCCCACACTGGACACTTGGCCAGCTCTGGGAACCCCTTGTATTCTTCTGGCTTTGAGAGAAGTTGTTGAATGTAAGGTATGAGTCCTGCTGAAATCTGGGCCTTTACTACTTTTTGGCTGAAGGTCTAGATTTTTTTCTGAGCTAGCCTTACGTTGGCTCAAGTAAGGCTTCAAAATGATTAATGTATTTTGTGCCTCAGCTTCTTCAGCTATAAAATGAGAAAGACACTAGTGTTGAGTGGTTTAGACGTGATGTTGGTCAATGATTTTGTAGGATCTTAACAAGTGTAGCCATTATTTTGATAAATAAAATAAAATAAAATAAAAAAGAAATCATTGAAATCAGCAGCAGCAAAGTTAAAAGACAGAATTGTGACTCCTGTTTAGTTCATATATTTCTCCGGGAAGGAGGAAAATTTCTGTGCTGGGGCATAGAAAACAAGGGACTGTACCTCAACGGTTCCAAATTGTCTTTATCAGATTGGCCTTCTTTATAGTTTTAGTTTCAAGATGCTAGAGAAATTTTCTGTGGGCCACTGCCCTCTACTGAAGTACTATTATCACTTCTGAAGAGAAAATACTTGGACTTGCAATAGGAGAAGTCAAGGATTGCACTTGAATTTCAGCTCACTGAGGAAAAGCTGCCCCCTGTGTGAGCACTGAGAAAGAAAAGAAATTTTTATGTGAGGAATGCAAGCCCCTTTAAGTTATCTAGCCCAGAAGGGCATTGGAGTAAAAAGCCATCACGTCTCAGTCTCCACTTGAGCTAAGTAATTGTCTCTTGAAGCCACTTGCTGTGGGCTCTAGACTAGCTGATGCCAAGTAGCCATAAGATGCCATATACTATAACCATGGACACCACAACTCATATCCTGTAGCTCAGGGATCTTCAACCAGACCAGTTAGGAAACAGGCTGCACAGCAGGAGGTAAGTGGTGGGCAGGCAAGCAAGAAAAACTATTTGTGTTTACAGCCTCTTCCCATTGCTCATATTACCATCTGAGCTCCTCCTCTTGTCAGATCAGCAGCAGCATTAGATTCTCATAGCAGCACAAACCCTGTTGTGAACTGTGCATGTGAGGGACCTAGGTTGCATGCTCCTTATGAAAATCTAATGCCTGATGATCTGTCACTGTCTCCCATCACCTCTAGATGGGACTATCTACTTGCAGGAAAGCAAGCTCATTCTACATTATGGTGAGTCATATATTTCATTATACAGTACAATGTAACAATAATAGAGATAAGGTGCACAATAAATGTAATGTACTTCCTTCATCCCTCAGCCATCTCCCCCTCTTCCCCCAGGTCTGTGGAAAAACTGTCTTCCATGAAACTGATCCCTGGGGCCAATAAGGTTGGGGACCACTGCTGTAGCTCAACAACATAAAGCCAATCACTAATCAATGTTATTTCTGCAAACCAATGAGAATTCCTGTCAAATAACTTTGTATCAGTCCACCCCTTGCTCACTTCTTGTCTTTAAAAACCTTCTTGTATGGATGCAGCTGGAGGCAATTATTCTAAGTGAATTAACATAGGCATAGAGTATCAAACACCACACTTTCTCACTTATAAGTGAGAGCTAAACATTGGGTACTCGGGGACATAAAGTTGGCAACAACAGACATTGCGACTGCTAGAGTGGGGAGAGAAGGAAGGGGGCAAAGATTGAAAAACCGCCTACTGGTACAACTAAGCCTGGGTGATGGGCTCAGTTATACCCCAAACCTCAGCATCATGCAGTATAGCCGTGTAACAAAAATTCACATGTACCTCCTGAATATAAACTAAAAGTTGAAGTTATTTTTTAAAGAGCCTGCTTACAACAAAGGTGGAGCATTCCCCAAATCAACTTGGAAGTGTGTCCTGAGCAGGTGGCCTCACGTTGGTTCAATTAAAGTCT